CAGCCGTCATTGTTGTTTGGCAGGTCTGGGCTGGGGATTCGAACCGGCCACCTTAGGTTTATGTGGCTGGCGCCTTAGCCGGTTGAGCTATAGGTGCCGAGCCATAGATAATTATTTTAACATGAAACTTATTAAAAAGTCTAACTCATTCACAAAGGTATCATACTCCCCATTTTCTCCATATGTATCTCTATGGGGGATAACTGAAGTTATGTTTTTCTATCATATATAAACACATCTACTATGCCATTCCTATTCTAAAACTAGGTTTCTGCCTGTATCTCAGCACTTTTATTTTTCCTGTACTTCTTGATCCTTACTCTCCTGACTTCTTTCTTTTTCTTTTTTTTTTAATAGAGACACAGTCTCACTTTATTGCCTTCGGTAGAGTGCCATGGCATCACACAGCTCACAGCAACTTCCAACTCCTGGGCTTAGGCTATTCTCTTACCTCAGCCTCCCAAGTAGCTGGGACCACAGGCGCCTACCAGAACACCTGGCTATTTTTTTGTTGCATTTTGGCTGGGGCCGGGTTTGAACCCGCTACCCTCAGTATATGGGGCTGGCACCCTACTCACTGAGCCACAGGCGCCGCCCTTTTTTAAGATTTTTTTTTTTTTTGGCAGTTTTTCACCAGGGCTGGGTGTGAACCTGCCACCTCGGCATATGGGGCCAGTGCCCACTCCTTTGAGCCACAGGCACTGCCCACTCTTTTGATCTCTTACTTCCCTAAGTCCAAACTTATTCAATTTAAGTAGATGCAAGCATCTGTTTCTTTCATTTCTAAACTTGCCTATCTATTACATTATGTCCTCTAGTGTAATGCTTCCTGATCATTTACATATTAAAACATGATTAAAATTGTAAATGATTTCTTAGCCGATTTTCTTACATTATGGTTATGATATTTGACACATGTTTTAAAAACTATATGCCTGGGAAGATTACATTTTCCAGGAATTCCAATTGAAGCTAATTAAGGGGCATTATAAGATGATAATAAGAAGGGAATTGACATCAGGCCTCAGAGAGTTGAGAAATCCTTTGTTCCAGTGGTGAAGTAACTAAACCTAAGCCAATAACTGCCTGGCATATATCTGGGCTTAGGGCTTGGTTCATGAGTTAGTGCAGTCATGGGAAAGCTTTTTATTGGATTTGACCATGTTAGGCTTTAGATCCAACAACTTCTAGCAAGCAGAAGGAGAGCCTTAAGAAGAAACAGTACTGGCTC